AGAAAATGTTTGGAAATTTAATACTATGAGATTAAATCTTGAGCCATTTTAACTACAAATACTGCATACACACAACGTAATGTATTCAATTAAAAGAAGCAAGTTTTAATACATAAGTTGCAGCTCTACATGCCATGAAAAAGCAGGCTATGGCCTGACTGGCCTTACCTCTTCCAAGGAAAGCTGGTACCGAACCCAAAATGAGAAAATGTATTTGACGCAATGATAACCATATACAAAAAATTATAACCGCACTTTTGTTGGAATGATCTGTATATGAAAATATATCGGTGTGTCGCTAGTAGTGTAAGTCGTGGCGTCACGGGCGAAATTGTTTGTTTGTAATTAGGCATAAATATATACAATGGGCTTTCTGTGCTCTGCCCACCACGGTATCGAAACTCAGTTTCTAGCGTTGTAAGTCCGAAGACATACCGCTGTACCATTGGGGTCCGTGGGCGAAATGCTTAGCATTTCTATATATATATATGTATATCTAACTAGTTCAAGGCGAATGTTTGACCATTTGAGAATACAATATAGCCTTGTTAAACGTATGGCAGAAATAATATAAAAACCCTAACCTTTCTAGCTATTATTTGTTTTATTTCCTCCTATCTGCACTTTCTTTCACTTTAATGGGTCGTTTTCTGTTGTTATATCAGTATCACTATGATCCCCTTTGCTGCTCTTATTGTTCTGGGTTTGTTTGATTTTTATTACTCACTGCGTTAGTTACTTCATCTCTTTTACGTTCTTCTGTCAAGTCATTTCCTTCAAATTCACCATATCTCAGTTGCTTTGTTGAATTCATTCCCATTTGCGGCGTGTAGAAAAATACCTTGAATTTGATAGTTTCGGATTACTTCACCAAAACAACAAGAAATAAGGTAGCAAAAAAAATCAATGTTGAACATCTAAAATACAAAAATGTAAAAAAGCTGGTAGTTGTTATGTTGAACATCTAAAATGAAAAAGTCAGAGAAAAGTATTTGTTGCATTGAATGTCTGAAATTAAAAATATGAAAAAGTAGTTGTCACAGTGTTGAAAACTAAAAATGGAAATATTTGAAAGGCTGGTAGTTACAATGTCGAACATCTAAGTTAAATATGTGATATCTTATTTTAAAGTAAGTACAGTGTTCCACCGTGAACTTTACTTATACCAGATTAGTAAGTTTTAAAACGAACTAAAACGTTTTCACCTTTGTTCTAACGTACTAAACCGCTTTTGTTTTATGTAAGTATCAGTGTGGTATTTCTTTATGTAACTAACTATTAGTATGGTGGTTACCTCTGACACCGAAGGTGCACGGAGGTTATGTTTTCACTCCTGTCTATGTGTGTTTGGCAGCAGAATTTCTCGAAAACGACTGAATGGTTTTCGACGGAAGTTAGTATACATTTTGACTATGATCCAACTTAGAAGTGATTAGTTTTGGTCAAGGTCAGAGCAAGGTTGCGAAAAATCCAATAGATCCCTATCAGTTAACATGGGGACCGATTTTTCACGCTATTTTTGCTCTATAACTCAGTCCAAAACTATCATTTTGATGAAACTCGGTGAACATGTGTCGAATATGATTTCTCATTGCCTTGCCAAAAGTGGTCCGTGTACGTTGATAAAGATGGACATACAGACATATTTTCCTATTTCTTGAGGGCCGAATATAACCAACCAACGCTACGTGGCAGATGTTTGAACTCTACTGATTGCCCCTCTAGTTTTTTAAGTAACTATCAGTGTGGTAGTTATCTAAATATTAATAATGTCTAAACATGCGATTGGTTTCGAGAAAAGCAATCGTAAAGCAGTCTCAGAAACGAAATAAAAATGTAAGAAAGGTCTGCTTGGATTTAAAAGAATAATCTTTATAATCATAGAAATCGTATTATAATTTAATGCTTGGACTATTCTAAATATATCGTATAATGGTACATTGTTATATTCACAATGTTTACATTAATATGTAATTATTTAGGCTTAACATTTTAACAAATGAAGGGGAGGGGGAGAGGTCACCTACTTGATACCAGATTTTTGTTTTACTGTCCAGTATCGGTCTGGTTGTGACAAATTTCTAGAATTATTTGTGTAAATATCATCCAAACCTAGTGGAATAGTTTTGGTTTAGACTAGAACTAAATATATCTAAGTAGAGACAAAAGGAATTTATTTTCATGATCAATATACATCTAAACCCTTAATCAATGATATGGATAGCTTCAATCCTGTGTGGAAAGTTGAGTATTATAGGCAATAACTAGAACACTACATTATAGATAACATTTGAAGGATGATTTATGGTAATAATGATCAATACTGGTAGATTGGAGTTTTCAGACGTGAGGCCTCGACCAACAAACTAATACATTCACTTTAGGCTATTTTAACTAAGAACTTTTGTTTAGGAATTGAATTACGAACGTGTTGATAATTGTATATTTTAGTAGATGGAGGCAGTGTATTATTATTATTATTATTTTCTAGCTTTTAGACTTTTTCACTGCTATTTGTGAGTGTTTCATTTGCGGGAATTACTAACTACAATAAGCGTGAGTGGACATTGTCCTAAATGGTATTTCCTAATACCGGTAACCGTTTAAATGTCTTTATTTATTCGATCAAGATCACCACTTCTTTTGTATAATTAACGAATTTCTATAGAGAGTACAGAGCCAGGCATATGCCTGGTAGTTAGTGATGATTCGTGGTCGTTGCCTCAAAATCTCACTTCACACTTTGGGACCATAAGTGTGTTATAGGAGTGACGGTCAAATTTCACTATTCTATTAGAATAACTCAACAGTTGGTGAAGGATACTGCTGACTGTCCTCTGCTATAATATCTCCGTAGTTTTTGGAAAGTTTTATTGTTATTTTTTTCATTGTACATTTTCGTGGAATATGCTGTTCCATATATTTCACTGGAAACATCACATGAACGTTCAGAAACTATTTCAATGATTTAACTGACCCTGTTTAACTTACCGTACTCTGACATCGCACGGAATAATTACTTCAGAAACTATTTCAATGATTTAACTGACCCTGTTTAACTCACCGTACTCTGACGTCGCCGGAATAATGACTTCAGAAACTATTTCAATGATTTAACTGACCCTGTTTAACTTACCGAACTTTGACGTCGCAAGGAATGATTACTTCAGAAACTATTTCAATGATTTAACTGACCCTGTTTAACTTACCGTACTCTGACGTCGCAAGGAATGATTACTTCAGAAACTATTTCAATGATTTAACTGACCCTGTTTAACTTACCGTACTCTGACGTCGCACGGAATAATGACTTCAGAAACTATTTCAATGATTTAACTGACCCTGTTCAACTCACCGTACTCTAACGTTGCACGGAATAATGAAATAGTTTCTGAAGTTCAGTTAAATCATTGCCTTGTTTAACTCACCGTACTCTGACGTCGCACGGAATAATTACTTCAGAAACTATTTCAATGATTTAACTGACCCTGTTTAACTCACCGTACTCTGACGTCGCACGGAATAATGACTTCAAATAAAAGTAATTCAAGTACCCTAACCGCAATTAAATTCTTCTTTCCTAGACAACATGTATGGTTAAAGCTCTGTAGCGGCTACATTGGTACTTCTGAATGGACATTCCAAATACTAAAGCATTAAGGTACTGTGGTTGTTTTGGAAATAATTATCGTAGCCGTGATGAAATTAATATTTAAACTTTATTCATAACAGCTGTAAATCTGAGATATCTATAACAACGTTCTATAAGTTATCCGTTTTTTACTCTTTTGTATTTTGAAAGATGCTTATTCGAGATGGGTTGATGTATAGATAGGTTTAACTGTTTCTCCTAATTTAAAGGGGGAAGTGTTTTGTTTTTTGTAACTGAATGTTTTTGTGGAATCTAGAATCAGGTTCTTTTCATCATCTCATATTATTAAGATCTCCAGTTGCCAGACAATCGAACTTCCATTAAAGCTTTCTGTTAAATTTCTTAAGTGTACTTCGATTACAAAACACCGACTTATTGTATGTTTTACTGAACACGTTCCTATCAGATCTCGTTCGGATCATATCCACTCGTAAGGACTAAACAAAATATTATTAATTACTTTTTTATAGAGTGTCACTCATTGTAAAGATCTTTTTTTTTCTGGAATCGATGTATAAATCCTTCATCTAATCAACCGTTCCTCACTCCATATATGGAGGAGCAGTGATGTTTCCGAGTATTAATATGAATAATAACTAGATTCCTATCAGATCTCGTTCGGATCATATCCCCTCGTAAGGACTAAACAAAATATGATTAATTACTTTTTTATAGAGTGTCGCTCATTGTAAAGATCTTTTTTTTTCTTCTGGAATCGATGTATAAATCCTTCATCTAATCAACCGTTCCTCACTCCATATATGGAGGAGCAGTGATGTTTCCGAGTATTAATATGAATAATAACTAGATTTCTTATGTTCTCCAAGTAAACTTGGTAGGCATGTTGTTCTGTCATACTGTTGTAACTTTACTAAAGTCTGTACCCATCTTTTGCTAAAGTTAGACCTATGGTCGTTTTTCTCCATGTTACAGACTGAGAATCGATAATCTTTATAAACATTATAAATAGGCTTACTTACTATTGTAAGTGAGACTCTGTTTGCTACTTCTTTGGATTTTGATTAGAATTGTGGTGTTAGTCTTCTCACACTTAAAGATAATACGACTTATAGTAGATCGTGGCTACGCCTTGTTCTCAGTACACTAAAAAATAGGAAACGGTAAATGAAGAAACTTTCTTAGTGCTTCTGGATTTAAGCATTATAATGAATCATTCACCTAACAGAAACAAGCCTGTAAATAACGCTACCTATCATCGCTGAGTAGAATAATAAACCTAACTTTTATTTAAAAAAAAAACCATAGTGATTCCTTTAACATTTGGTTTGTGATTTACAAATTATTATCAAATTCGGTAATTACATGATAATTATTGATCTTGAAACAGGTCAAATAGGTGGAGAAAGCGAAAACCAAGAGGACAAAAATGAGGCCGAGCAGGCTGAACAGGAGCGTCTGGAAGCACTTCGGGAAGCAGAAGAAAGGAGAAAAGAAAAACACAGAAAAATGGAAGAGGAAAGAGAAAAAATGAGGCAGGATATCAGAGACAAGGTAAAGGTTTCTTCAGTAACCTTACCATATGTTATACAGGCCCCTAGAAAGCGGGGGGGGGGAGCTTACTTTTACTACTTCACGAATTTTGTTTCAGAATTCTCGAATTAATACGAAGAAATTGACGTCTTTTATAATTAAGTTAAACTCTGCTCTACACCACGTAAAATTTTGTGAAATTAAAACAGGTTATTACGATTAGAATGCGAATTATCATTGCTTATCGTTACTGATTTTCAACCATTAGCACTATTACATTACTTGAAAATCACGTGGTTAATTCTTACATTTATATAGTAAAGATCTCATACTAGACACCTAACACGTGAAATCGTAATAATTTACAGAAATGTAATGAAAAACTGTATGATATGCATACATGTGTATCATATTTTGCTATATTACAATATACATGATGAAAAACCAAGTGAAAGATCATACTTTTATGAGACAATCAAGGTTTTTAACAGTAGCAGTGATTCGATCAACAATTAATTGAGCTAAAAAACATTAGTTTCATAATTCTAAATCTCGTTTTCATGGTACTGAACCAAACACATGGTGATACATAATGGTTGGAGACGGCTTGAATGGGTAATGAAGAAAAACTTTAATATAAGTTTAACATAACAGCAAATGTACAACGTTTCGACAAGGTTTTGTCATTATGGTGATATGTACCAGAGGATAGGTTTTTGTGGAGATGTACCAGAAGGTAGATTCTGAAGTAGAAATGTACCAAAATGTAGACTTTAAAGTAGAGATATACCAGAGGGTATATTTTGAAGTAGAAATGTATCATAAAGTAGACTTTAGAGATATACCAGAGGGGAGATTTTGAAGTAGAAATGTACCATAAGATAGACCTTAAAGTAGAGATATGCCAGAAGGTAGATTTTGAAAATGACATATATCATAAGATAGATTTTGTAGTGGAGATGTAACATTAGATATATTTTTGAGTGGAGATGTACAAAACAGTAGAGTTTGTAATAGAAATGTGATAGAGGTAGGGTCTGAAGTGGGGATGTACAAGAAGTAGGTTTTGTGACGAAGATATACAAGAGGATGGTTATTGTACTGGATATGTAATTAGGATAGATATTTACATTCTGTCCTTGATGTCTACATTATGTTAGTGAGTAAATACCGGTAACAAAAGTCTGTCCTTGATGTCTACATTATGTTAGTGAGTAAATACCGGTAACAAAAGTCTGTCCTTGATGTCTACATTTGTTTGTAAGCGAGTACAGGTAACTAAAACCTGTCCTTAGATGTCTACATTCTGTTTGTGAACAAGTACCGGTAACAAAACCTGTTCTTAGATGTTTTCATTCTGTTTGTAAATAAGGATAACAAAACCCTATCATTGAACACTTCGTGTAAGACTAGTCAGTGAGCATATTGTGTAATTACGGTTTTTTAGCAGATCTTTAGATCCAGTTATTCAGTAATTCTTTAAATCCGGTCATTCGGCAATTTGTTTAAGCCCAGTCATTCCGCTGCTTGTCTAATCCCAGTCATTCCGCTGCTGGTCTAATCCCAGTCGTTTCGCTGCTGGTCTAAGCCTAGTCATTCAGCAACTTATGTAAATCCAGTCATTCCACAGCTTATGTAAATCCATTCGTCTAGCAGCTGTCTTAATTTAGTCATTGAATAGCTGATGTAAAATTTAGGGTTTAAGCATCTTGGCAGGTCTAATTATTAAGCCGCTTGTGTAAATAAAGACAGTCTTTAGCTTGTTAAATATAGTCATTGAACATTTTGTCTAAATTAAACTATTGAACATGCTGTGTAAATATAAGCATCAGTGCGCAGATTGTCCGAGTCTAAATCAATAGAGCATCGTGTGTATATCTGTCATTGAGCAGCTTTTGTGATGAACAGTACGGGTTTACAGAATTAGTAATATACATAAAATGATATAAAATTCTAAAAACACTTAAAATAAAAACAAAAATAACTGAGCAATTACGAAATAACTTTGAAGGTATAAGGCCCGATCTCGAGCAATCCGTATTGTGGCATGTAAATTGGTGTTTCTTGTGTGTGTTTTTTAAGAGTTTTATTATTACTGTTTTTCAACTAGTTACTTGTCACGGGAGAGGTTTAATATGTAAGAACTTACTAAACATTATTTAAACATATCGAGACAGCTACTAATTAGGAAGGTTTGTTTGTTTTTGAATTTCGCGCAAAGCTGCACGAGGGCTATCTGCGCTAGCCGTCCCTAATTTAGCAGTGTAAGACTAGAGAGAAGGCAACTAGTCATCACCACCCACCGCCAACTCTTGGGCTACTCTTTTATTAACGAATACTGGTATTTATGGTAATATTATAAAGCTTCCACGACTGAAAGGGCGAACATGTTTGGTGTGACAGGGATTCGAACCCGCGACCCTCAGATTGCGAGTCGAGTGCCTTAACCACCTGGCCATGCCGGGCCCAATTAGGAAGGAGATCGTGTTATCTTTCTTATTTTCGCTTAGCAGTAAGATTTATTACTTCATCTTCGTTAACTACGCCGAACTTCCCTGCATAATAGCCACTTGAGAAATCCTCATCATGTTGCTTACTACTTTGTATTGTTTTTCATGGAATAGATGTGTGGCTACGAAAGATAAACATTATTTCCATTAACAGGATACTTCACGTGTCGTGTACTTACTATTACACCAATAAAAACTTAATTGAACGTGCCTGTTTATACCTTCCTATCTCCCTTCCCTGGCCGAATTTCGGATTTACATTTGACATTAATGTTAGTCTTAACACATTATCATGTCTAAATGACCCGTTATAATTTATATAGCTCCATTGATTTCATTGGGTTTTATTGGAAGTGGGGTCGTCATGATACTCAGATATGCATGAAAGAAATCCACCTTTTGTTTCGTTTTGCGTGTAAAAATTTTAAATAAATAAGTGTTAGTAACAAAACAATTCTATGATTAACGCAATAATTTCTTGGGATAATGAAACGTAAATATAATACTACTGCAAACGTTTCGTATTTTTATTTTGATGTATTTTGAAAGTATGATATACCTATTAAAGCTGTTTACCTTACGTCCCTCATTTTGAACTACTGACCAGGGGAAAGGCAAACAGTAAGTAGCCTCTTACCACCTACCATCCACACTAAGGGATTACCTGTCACTCTTATAACACACCCACAACTTAAAGTGGGAGGAATTTGTTATGGTATTGCACGGACTTTAAACCTGCTCATCGGCTACGAAATCAAGAGCTCTACCACAAGACTGAAACGTTTCGAGGTTAGAAAAATATCAAAACTAAAACTATTTATAAAGTTTTAATTCGTTCAAAGTATTGGTTAATCCTGAACAGGTTTTATTTTCAGTTTGAATCTGATAGTCACAATGTTAAAATAATTTCATTTTATTTTGCTATTTAACAAATTGAAAGTCAACTTGATGCATCTAAAAAATTAGGATACAGCAGAAAACTATTTTTTATTGTTTCCCTCCAGAAAATTCAGTTAAAGCTTATTTTTCAAAGAATATGTAGAACAAGCTAAGAATTTCTTATACTTAAATAAACTTGACCTGAAACTGAAGCATTTGTATTTGCCAAAGATGAAAAGTTCCATCACTCTACAGGGCATGCGCAAGACAAAACATCAGATCTTCAGAAGAAAAACCGCAAAAAGAAAATAAAGTCTTTTTGTTATTGATTTTTATAATATTGTTATGAATACTTGGACTTTAAGTTTATCCACAAGATGACATCTGGAAAGAGATTAATCATGTTATTAGGCAGTCGAACTTGAAACATCGTTAACAAATCAGTCTTGATGTGTACAAAATTTATTATAAGTTTAAAATTTTGCTACTATACTTTAAGTTCTTAAAATGATAAATATTTTTTCACTCTCTTAAGATCAGTTTAGGAGCTTATAACGTAAAATTCATGGTGAGATACCTGCGGTGGGTACATATATCCCATTGTGCAATAATTTACTTTAACTGCATACGAAATAGTGGCTTGGACTTTTATTTGCTCACTAAACTGTCAATTTTTATTATTCGAAGGAGAGTATCGTGCTAAAATTGTGTAACATTTTATGTAGTTACTGATTTTTAACGATTTGTCTATTTCCAATGTTATAGAAAAACGTTCTAGCGGCGATCGCATAACTAAGTAAAAATTTTACTCTACTAGGATTTCTGAACGTGAAGAAAATTTTATTGATTCATTTTTGATAAAACTGTGAGAGAATCTATCAGAAGCAATTGCAATAATTTAAAAAATTAATAACTTTTGTTGGATGGTTACTTTTTCAACAGTAAAACATTTATCAAAAAGCTTTTTGGTCAATGTGTATGTGAATGTATACAAAGATTGAGTACGTTTTATTAAAACTATTTTGAAACCTCACCATGCCATTACAATCCATGTCGCCACGTACGGATATGCTTTATATGACGACCGTACATCTTGACAATAGCCCTGCAGCGTAGTTTCAATTTCAAAAGGCTCCGTCGTAAGGTTTTCGTGT